TCACATTCTGTATATGTAAATATTCAAATTTGTTTTAAAAAGTCCACAATCCAAAATACTTTGGGTCCCAAGAATTTTGAATAAGGGAGGCTAAGTACACACTGGCAGAAGATGATATTATCACTGTCAATTAAAGAAAAAATTGGCAGTTCTTTGTCAGTCCTGGCTCCCCTACACTACTGCTTATACTTTAAAAAAATAATTAAAATTGCACACAAAGTTGACGTGTAACTTAAGAACCAAGAGGAATCCCACCTTGAAGGCAAACTTTTCATTTTTCAACCCAGCCCCAAGCTCAGTTGTTGCTGAGCTATTACCTGTGTGTGGTGTAGTGGTTTGAGTGCTGGACTATGGACCTTATCCCACGGGGCCAAAAGCAGCAAGAATCCACATGGAATCAGGCGCTATAGCGCTATAGTTTTCCGGGTGATCCCACGACGTCGCTCGGAATCCGCTAAGAATCAGGCGCTATAGCACTATAGTTTTCCGGGTGATCCCACGACGTCGCTCAGAATCCGCTAAGAATCAGGCGCTATAGTGCTATAGTTTTCCGGGTGATCCCACGACGTCGCTCAGAATCCAACAAGAAACCGCTTGGAATGCAGCATCATTCGGGTTCTTTTGGATGCCTGGTTTCAGCGGGCATTGCAATAGCGCTACCTTCTCCATAGCGCTATTATAGCGCTAGCGCCATATTATACTAGCGCTATAGTACTGCAATGATGCTCATGTCGGTTTCTTGCCACTTTTGAGAGCAGCGTGGGATAAGGTCCTATGATTCTGGGGAACAGGGTTCAAATCCCTGCTCAGCCATGGAAACCCACTGGGTGACTTTAAGTGACTCACACTCTCTCAGCCTCAAAGGCTAGAACAAACCACCTCTGAACACATCTTGCCAAGAAAAGATAGGGTCACCATAAGTCAGAAATGACTTGAAGGCACACAACAAACACCTTTATTTGGTTGCTTGTCAAGGTCACCTTTATCACCTGCCATTGTTTTTCCTATCACTCAGTTTTATCTGCTTTGAGATTTGGCTTGCGCCAGAAGGTCTGGTGACGCTGTGAAACACAATACACAACCCAAGTTATACAATAAAAAAACAACAAAAAATAGTTCTAGGGGTAGGTGGGTTGGCCCTATAGCAAAGTCCAATATCATCCAAAATCCACAAAACAGTGCTACCTTTATTGTACCAACCAAAATGTACAAAATACATGTTGCAAGCTTTCAAAGCTCCAGCAGTGTTTCTTCATTGGGCAAAGGCATTAAAAATCATACAGGAAGGGGGGAAATGATAATATTCGTCACAGGTCTAATGTCAAGATGCTGTTAGGTTCTGAGTTAAGATGGTATGGAGTGGGGCTTTGAAAGCTTGTGACATGTATTTGGTGCATTTTGCTTGGCAGGAATAAAGGTATCACTGTTTTGTGGGGTAACAACAACTTTAAGGTTAAAGGCCAGGTAATGGCAACTGAATCCTTGGGCAAAGGTCTGTAGTGGTGTTTTATGGGTCTATCCAAAATGCACAAAATATATGTTGCAATGACACCCAAAACCCACAAAACAGTGGTAGCTCTATGGGTCCATCCAAGGTGCACAAAATAAATGTTACAATGACACCCAAAATCCACCACACAGTGACCCCCTTACATCCAACCAGAATGTACAAAATAAACAGTACAATAACATCTGAAACCCACAGAATGGTGATACCTTTATTGGTCCAAACAGAACGTACAAAAGACATGTTACAATAACATCTGAACTCCACAAAACAGTGGCACCTTTATTGGTCCATCCAAAATCTACAAAATACATCAGAATGTAAAAAATAAATAGTACAGTAACATCCAAAACCCACAGATTAGTGATCCCTTTTAGGCATCCAACCGAGATGCCCAAAAGACATGTCACAAAAACATCCGAAATAGGATGTTATTGTAGCATATCTTCAGTTTGAAAACTTGCGGCATGAATTTGTCACAATGTTATTGGAACATATCTTTTGTGCTTTTTGGTTGGACCCCTCCCTGCTGGCCTTTCCCCGGCAAGTAAAAACTTTTTTATTCAGGTAGGCTTTTTAAAATCATTTATATGGGGTGTGTGCTTTAGAATATGTTTTTTTAAAAACTTTAGACTGTTTTCACTCTTAATTTTATACTGTTTTAACTAGGTTATTTTAATTGTTTTTTTCAAAAAATTGTTTTTATAGTGCTTTTTATCTTGTGAGATACCGCCTTGGGTCCCTTTTTGGGAACAAGGTGGCCTAAAAATGAAATAAATAACTAAATAACAGGACGAGAGCCAGTGTAGGGTGTAGTGCAGGGGTAGGCAACCTTTCCCCTTTAAGGGCCGAGGGACTTCAGCTCCCAGAAGCCTCAGCCATGTTGGCCAATAGTCCCATGTTGGCCAATAGCTCCTGGGATTCTGGGAGCTGAAGTCCCTCGGCCCTCAAAGGGGAAAGGTGTAGGGGTTTGAGCGCTGGGACAAACTCTGTGGAAACCAGGATTCGAATCTCGGCTTGGCCATGGAAACCCACTGGGGGGGTGACCTTGGGCAGGTCACACTCTCTCAGCCTCAAGGGAAGGCAGTAGCAAACCCTCTCTGAATAAATTTTTCCAAGGAAAAAACAAAACAAAACAAAACAAAAAAACCCAAGCCCATGAGAGGATCTCCCTAAGTCGGGAAGGCCTTGAAGAGGCACACATCATCCTTTTGGTGGGTTTTGCAAGTCCAGGGTGTAAAGAAAGAAAGCAGGCAAGGATGGAGGGGGCCCTTTCTAAGGCGGGATAATGGAAGGAGAGGCTGGAGGGCTCCCTAAATGCCTCTCCATCCCAGGGGCTTCTGAGGTCCCTCTGCCCAGCCCTCTTTGGGTAACTTGGGTGGGCATGGGTCCGGCCTGTCCCTCTCCTTCTCTGTGGGGCTGACCCCCCTCCAACTGGGCCCAGGAGGAAGAGGAAGGGCCGGCGGGGCTGG